TGTTTATAATATTTATGTAAAAAGCCAAACGTTTTTAAACGGTCTTTATGATCTCTATACTAGCTGACCTAGCGAACTTCGTACTGCAATACAAAAAGGGGCAGGTGGTAGAAGAGAAAATTTAGAGTTGTATGTATTTTTAACAACATATTATAAAAAAAATTTAGGGGTGTGTAACGTACTGTTCTATCAATTTCCTGGGATAACATTCCTCCTAACCCATATGAGAACACTACGTTACAATACCCAATAGTTGAATTTTGGCGCGAAGGCACATTGTAGGTTTCAGAACACTACGTAACAGGTGGACAACCATTATCACTCAAGGATGTGAAAAATAGATAGTAGCCGATTCTCAGATCCACGGAATATGCAACATAAAAATCGGTCAGGCCGCTTCGGAGGAGTTTGGTAACTAACATGTGACACGAGAATTTTATATATAATATAATATTGATTTAAGTTTTCTACCATTTAATTATTATGTGATGGTGATAGTTAATAGAGCGGAGCGAGTGAAGCTCCCAATGACAAAATGTATGTCTATGTTTACGCCTTTAAAAGAGGGGTAGAGCAGGAGGACTTGAGACACGCACACTGGAAAGATTTGCCTTTGATTCGGTTTTTCCACCATGTCTAACCTTCTTAGTTTCTGAAAATTTCTATCAATTTGACGCATGTACCTACACAATATACAATTATTTACCACACCCGCACACACACACACACACACACACACACACACACACACACACACACACACACACACACACACACACACAAACAAACAGTACACTCCAGGACCCACATTTCACATAAAGATATAAGAGCAGTACCTTCTCTATTTAGTATGTAAGAATGCAAGTTTTTTTGTGTAATAGTTTGGCAGTTCTTTATTACTGGCTGTGACCCGCATAACATCGCAGGGAAAAGGTTGGGGCTGAAAACCAGCATGGACCAGGGCATACCTTGGCTCCGCTTACGCTGAGCCTCGTCCTCTTGCCTCCACTTAATGTTATATTAAGAAACATACTTGTAATTTTGTTTTTCCTTTAGGTAGTACGTTTTAATAAGTGTATCATAATTTGGAGGCAATAAAACAGTTATTATTATTATTATTAGCATAGCGGATTTTTCGCGCGAATTGGAGCGCCCGTCTGGGGAATCAACCTCCACCTTCCAAAAAACCACAGAAAAATAACTGCCTTTTGGTGGTGGTGTGTTTCTGCTGATAAGTAGGATACCAAGGGCTCCACGGGTAGGGGGTTGGTTTCACGCCGCACCGGCAAGGTCAGAATGGCTGGAGCGGCACACCTTCTGTTGCATCACCTATCATCGCGACTGAACTCCACTTACACTTAACATCAGGTGGGGTGGGTAGTTAATAATTTGAAGATAGAGGGGCCATAATTTATTTCCGCTCGAATCGGAGCGTACGTCTGGGAAAGTTACCTCCACCGTACAAATGACAAGACCACAAGATTACACAGTAAAATAACATCACCTTTTGGTGTTGTGTTTCTGTCGGAGAGTGAGTTTCTCGGATTTATTGAGTCCTAGGGGATAGGGTCAGGGTAGGCAACGGTGCAAGTAATATATCCTTGTATTTGTTATCGCGAGCGTCAAAATCACAAATATATTTACTTATTGGTTCTTGTTATATACAGGGTTAATTTTAAAATACCGGTAACCTCGCAGTACTAGATAGCTAATATCATACACAACAATACCTATTTGTTCTACGAGTTTTGAAAATTCGTTACATTTTGTTTTCATACAAGAATAATTAAGGAAGAGGGCGCGCGGGTGGGGCAGTACGCGGCGCTAGCGTTTGAACTTGATTGACCTATTTATCTACGGCCGCCAATCGGCCGGCGCCTTTGATTCAAAAAACACTTCCTTGTGTGCAAAAATTTTTCGTTATCTTCCGCCAACATTCATTTATAAACGAAAACAAAATAAGTAAAACCCGTTTAAAGACGATTTCACAGGGACTCGACCAAAAACGCATCTTAAGCGGGAAGGCGTATTATGCGGGATGGGGAAATAACGTACTACTTACACATATTATTATTTATTTTATTCTATTATTATTTGGAATGTAAGTATTGAGATATTTATGATGTTTATTGTTATTCAAATATAAAATAAATAATACGAAACTCCTAAGACATCTTGCATTACAGTAACAAAAATAAAAATAGTAATTTTTAAGTGTCCGACTTCCTCCTTGTTAACAAAAGTAATCATATTAAAGAAGAGTTTAAGTTTATTGTTATTATAATTATCTCTTATCTATTAGACAAGTCCGTCCGTCTGTCTGTGGTGCTGTTTCAGCGGCCAAACCGTAACAGATAGATATAGAGAATATTTAAGTTATAAGTTAAGAATAGTCTGATAAGACTACAAACCGGATTTGAGTAACGTAGCACTTCCGGTTTTCGAGAAATCACGTGATTTCTATTTCAAACGAAACCACACAAAATCTCCGAAGTTCTCAATTATTTTTTTAATTAATTAAATACATTTTTTAAATCAGGTTTTGGTGAACATTTGGTTCACTGGTTTGCTAGTATTATATAATACTGCCTCAGACGCAAAAGTAAATATAAAATAATCTTAAAATCAAACTACTAAACCACAAAAAAGTCTTAAAAATAATTCACATCTTGGTAGCTCCAAGATATTAATGTTTTCTTGATATTTTTAACTTGATAGAAGAGTGTACTTGGCGTCAGTCCATATGCATCTATAATACGATTCAAATAAGAATAGGAAAGCCAATGACCTCTATCTGTCAAATGTCGCTTGAAAAGTACAGTTTGCAAAAAAAACTTGAAACCCTTTTTTAGCACTCCGCTAATTCAAGAATAAAAACCAAACATTTGTAAACAAACAATAACAAATATTGATAATAAATATCGGTTGATATTTTTTTTCACTTATTGAGCTTTGGCCATGAATGGTTGATAACCTAAATCGTCAACCAAATGTCACTTTAAGTTGCGTTCAGAAACTCGATTTCAAACTTTCGTTTCCATAAAGGATGCGTGTTCGTTTGTGACCTAGTAATAGTGCATGATTATTCATAACTACTCCGGCGGTAATGTAGAGATGAGCGGAATAGAAGAGCTAGATTCTGATTAAAGTTTTTTCTAACAGTCTTAATAAATAAATATTATTAAAAATCGGTGTTTTTTTCGCAATCTTAGTAAATAAATGATATTAAAAAAATCTGATGCTTTTTTTCACTTAATCTTAGTAAATAAGTTTTATCAAATATTTTTTTTTGCTTACTCTACCTATTTGGTTTGAATTGACAGCTATGACATCACAATATGGCGCCCAGTCGGTCCTATTCTTAGTTGAATCGCATTATACAGCTCCTCTAAGTTTCATAGTTCCGTTGATGACGTATAAAATAGCAACATCATTTTCATTAATTGTACTTTTCCGCTTATTTTTGTATGTTTTAACCAATCTATAAATAATGAATTACAGTTAGTAATGCATTTAATTACAATTAAGTATTACATTCAGAATACATGTATTAGTAATAAACATTTGAAGTTTGCATTTGAATGTCCCGTTTAAATCTGCCCCGTTTGTTTTGATTTAATCTGGCCCATGGTCACTTTTGGAAGATAAAATATAACAAAAAAATAATGTGATATAACTGAAAAGTAAAAACAACAAGGTGGATTAAAAACTAATAAGTACTGCACTAGTTGGAAACCTTTACTAACGTGATAGTAAATCCCTTACATTTATTTTTATTTTTACTTCACCGGTAAATACGACGATAGGTTATAAATCTTTTTGAAAACAAAACGCGCGCGCTTTGTTACTTGACGTTTGTCACAGCCAGTGCTGCCAATATTAAAATGTAGTTACGGCATAAATTAACATAAAGTTACGTTCAGAAATCAACATGTTCAAATCTGCCCCTGTGCTAAGGTGCCTCCTTCTCCCCTACTAATATTGAACATTAAACTCGGTGTAAGTAACTTAAGAAAACGATAAAGAATGATTACGTAAATCGTTTTTACATATTTTGAAAGATATACCTAAATGCTTGTTTTCAATTGTTTAATGTAGTTAGTAAAGAATGATGTGATTGTGGATTCAGTGTACCTAGTGCATACAAGCTACGTGAGCAATTAACTATGTAAGTAAAGTATCTGGTAAAGAAATACATTATTAATATTATTTTTTGGATAGCGCGAGCGTTGCCCTTTTTGATTATGATGGAACCATAGACTTATAAATGTCACGACAGTATAACAAAAACTTAGAATATTTATTGATCAAAATATTGAGTTATGTTAAAACTCGTAGAACTAATGTTGTTGTGTAAAATGTTAGCAATCTAGTTCTGCGAGGTTTCTGGTATTTTAAAATTAATCCTGTATACGCATTAAGAAGACTGGGCGCACGTGTATGGTTTCCTAATCAGGAATCCCGATTCGGAAAATTCAATGCACGTCCTTACTATACAAAATGTTCAACGAGGCGCACACTTTTTTCAGAATGTTAAAAACCTAACGTTCGGTTCGACGGACCCTTCGTCTCACGGAATTTTGGATCAGGAAACCGTACGTGTGCGCCCAGTCTTATTCTGTGTTCAAGAAACAAAAACCGTGTCAAGAAGAGATACCATTGACACGCCAGATTAAGACACGCATGATTCCCACGTTAGCTTAGCAGAATCGATACCTAAACCAATCGAACAATCGCCGATCGACGGCTTTAGTCAACGTCTCTCAAAGTTGATCGACTGGTCTGTGGTAGCTATTGATATAGAAACCACGGATCTACGTCGGCTAACCCATTCTACCATAGATCGATGTCGTCGTTCGACGTTCGTTTGATTGGTCTGGTAGGCAACACCCTAAAAGATAATTTAATAAATAGGTAGGTGTTATAGGAAGGTAATAAATAAGTACTTTATTCAGGAATTGTCGTAACTCTTATCAACGTTTATAAACTTTTTGTTCCAGCTGCTGTTGCTGCATCCCATTTTGCTGTGACTCTGCAAAGAACACTGACCATTACTGCCCCAGCTGCAAGAAATACCTCGGTACATATGAAAAGTAAACTTATACGTACCTACTCTTATTAAACATAGGTACTTACCATATTCAAAACTATTCTCTATCTATCATAATTATGTTTATTTTCATTAACAAATCGTTTAGTATGTTAAGTTTAATTCAGTATGGTCCACTTATAGCAATTTTGCTAAATCTCAATTTAACTAATACCAGATTTAGCCCATACAGTAATGTCAAGTTGACATTGAAGTTTTGTCATTTTTCTATGGGACAGATCTAGTTTTAGTTATATTGAGATTTAGCAAAAATCCTGCAAGTGCGCCTAATTATTCGTATTTTTTAATTTAGATGCTAAGTTTGCTAACTAGCTTTGTTAAATTTTAGCTCTAATTAGAAAAGATTACTGAATCTTATCATTTTGTTAAATATTTCATCATGCTTGTAAAGCAGAAGCCTGTGCTCAACAAGAAGAAAAGTTGATTCTCTAATTGGTTTGTAACATGCTTACATTTGAAATATGTAAACCCATTTTTTTTATTGATTAATAATATTATTACATACAAGAATTAGTTATGTCCTTTGGCCTTGTACCTTTGGCACACATAACCGTGTGCACGACAATCGGGAATAGTTGACCTTCTATCCAAGTTTTTTTTTATTGAACCTATGGCTCGGAATAAGGTAGGCGTAGCTTCTTGACCTTCACAAGTGCTTGTAACAGCCTATACTGTATAAATGAGTTTTGAGTTTTCTTTTATAGCCGGGTAGGCAAATGACTCTACCCCAACTGATGTTAAGTGGTGATAAAGTTTAAACGCGAAGATAGCTGGTACAGCAGTTATAAACTGCTACAACAAACCATCCTCACCTTGCCGGCCTGCAAAAATGCTTTTTCATCCCACCACCTCGGAAAGTGTAATTTTGCGCTTCGAAATCTGGCTGGAAAATTCTATTTTATTCGCTTGAGCGGCAAAGTAGATTTGAATTTAGAACATCACATATAATGAGTACTCAATATAATTGTAAATTCAAAACGTCATTAAACCTATTTAATGTAACCTCTATGGTGCCAAATTTATGATTAGAACTTTTTAAATTGTGAAAAAATTTAAAGGACATCGACGAAATCGGCCCTAGCATGCCCAAAAGAATATCCTTCACTATTATTTTTCTATTATTTTTTTAACTTATTAGCAATTAATCATAGTAAACGGACAATCTGTTTAAAAAATAAAAGTTCTGTTACTAGATACTACAGTCTGTTCATCCAACTTGACACTCCTTTTTATTGAAAATACAGCATTAAAAATCAACTGATAACTGGATTCAATAGGTTTCAGTCTATAATAACGATTTATTTCAATAGTTTATTGGCTTCGTTAATATTTTATTATTAAATGGGTGATTCTGTTAAAAAGTTGTGCCAAGATTGTTTACCTTAGTAATGCAATATAGGCGACCATAGGTATTTATCAACATAAAAATAGAACAAGGTACCTTAGTTAATAATACTTATTACTAGTATTTATATTATATTTATGAAAAGATTATTTCTGAAATTATCTAAAGATAGTTTATACTCCCATCCCATGTAATATCTGTTTATTTTTATGAAAATCATAATGATAACCAGATACATACCTAATTACCGATAGTAAACTATAGGAACAGGTAAATGGAAAGACTGAACATTTTATTTGAAAAGAAATCTATCATTACTTACTACAGGTAGGTATAGGTATCATAGGTGCCAACTGAAAACACTCATAAATCAATATGAATATAAGCATTTATTATTTTTATTATTAATTGCATTTTATGTTCATTTAATGCATATTATTTAAGTGCTTACATAGAGTTAAACACTAAATCTATTCAGAATATATAAAGTGTACATCTTTTATGATTAAGTATAATAATTATAACCTCAAAATCTAATACATTCTGTAGTAGGCCACGGTTCCTCAAGTTGTCCGTATCTCAACAAATGCTTATTTACAGTTTATGAGTGATTCCGAACACAACTAGCATTTTCTCATTGCTGGGCGTTCTAGGGCATTCAATGTATGGGGAACGAGCAATGTCCTTTGGAACCTTCTTGGTTTCTTTGTTTTATTTGCGTGCTTCGCGCCATTCTAGTTTTTCACGTTTTATTGCTTAAATATTTTGTCATTATAAATTGTTTTCTTTTTCATTTTGTCATTTCCTCGCTGAGGTGGGATGAAAAGTTACGTATTGCACTCGAGTGGAAAGATTTTTCACCTTGTGCTCGTTTGTTTCCCTCGCTGACGCTCAGGATTCTAATTTAGAATCACTCGCTGCGCTCGTGATTCAACTTTAGAATCCTTCGCTTGCTCGGTCATCCAAATCGAGCACGCGGTTAAAAAGGAACTTTCCACTCTTGTATAATAAATAACTATTTCACGCCTCTCATAAAGGACCCCAGATTATAGGAAGTAGGGCACACGTGTTCTTTGAGTTACATTGCCATTGGTGTAGGCATGATTTTGATAATCATCATCTTTATTTGACTGAAGTATTTGTTTATGTAAGACTATGTTGTTTGTATTTTAGGTCGTTAGGTAGTCACAGATACTCTTGTATGCATTTAAATGTTATTTTATTGAAAAAAGATTTATTTAGGGAAGAGAAACTTAAAAAACTTTAAGTGATTATTATAGGGTACTACTAATAAATTAAGTCGAGTGTACTGAGTACCTACACTTATAATCATCCAAAACTAAAGCTATGTTTACTTTTTTTAGCGTTTTAAAATATTTTATTAATTTAAATGAGGCACCATAGGAGTTTTGATAAAAATGGAGTTGACGAGCGCTAGCGCAGTAGGTACTTATCTAATAATGCCTTGATCACATGTACCGAGCAAACGTGCGAGGCGGTTCTCTTCGCCAAATACTCGGTACGTATAAACATAGCGCCGAGTGCTCTAACATGAGTTTCTAACTTTCATCACTGTCTTGGCCGTTTGTTCGGTACTTGTGATCATGATATAATCTATCTATACTTATAATAAATCTGTAGAGAGGTCAATTCTGTACATGAAATATATTTTCAAAATAACTATCAGGGGGTGATAAGTGATCGATACTGATGCCAAAAATGCAATCAGTAAAATTTTTGTCTGTCTGTCTGTCTGTCTGTGTGTTTGTTCCTTATAGAAACAAAAACTACTCGACGGATTTTAACGAAACTTGGTACAATTATTCTTCATACTCCTGGGCAGGTTATAGTATACTTTTCATCACGCTACAATCAAAAGGAGCAGAGTAGTGAAGGGAAATGTTGGGAAAACGGGAGAAGTTACTCCATTTTTTAAGCTTCCGTCGCGTGTGGAGCCTTAATGGTTAAAGTTACATAGAAATCATGTATGACGGAAATATTCTACATAAAATTGTCTAAAAAATATCCCGCAACAGCATATATCTATCTTTTATGGTTGACTCACAATAACACGTGTAACTCCTGATAGCTTAGCAGTTCGGAGCATTCTGATTATATTTGTTTACTCTTACGTTTATAATACTCTCACTCATCCCTAATTTAAAAAAGTTAACATTATTACCTATTCAATAAAAAAAGAATCATAGAAATCGGTATAGAAACACCAAACTTATACATGAAATAAGCCATCGCGCCGTCGCACGTGAATACTGAATCATGCTTTAAGGATTATTTTTGTGTAACGGCTGCCGCGCTCGACACGGGTCGTGACGGCGCGGTAAGGTATAAAAAGGCGGGAGGTCCGAAAGCGAGCTTCCCCGCCCCCCCGATCCTGAGAGACCTTCAGCCACTCAGTCCCAAACCGATACGGATGCACATCAGGGTGCATCCGTCCTCTAAGCGCACTAGCAGTAGTATTTACTAAGGCAGCGCTGCATCATCCCCTTCTCAGGGGTTGATCGCATCAGATGAAGCCTGTAAGGCCCCTAAGGCCATAGGCACCCCCCACGGGTGTGTTTTAGTCAGTAAGAGCCTGACATAACTCTACAGCCGGCTGTAGGGTATCCATGAGGATTTCACACCCCCTCCCCCGCCTGGGAAGAAACAAAAAAAAAAGAAAGCGAGCTTCATTCAATATTTGGCTGTCGATGCGTTCAGAACGTTCGACCTTATTGACAGAAAATAATTGATATTGAGAAACCGTGCTTATCTTCTATACTTATAATAAATCTGTAGAGATGTCAATTCTGTACATGAAATATATTTTCAAAATAACTATCAGGGGGTGATAAGTGATCGATACTGATGCCAAAAATGCAATCAGTAAAATTTTTGTCTGTCTGTCTGTCTGTCTGTGTGTTTGTTCCTTATAGAAACAAAAACTACATGACGGATTTTAACGAAACTTGGTACAATTATTCTTCATACTCCTGGGCAGGTTATAGTATACTTTTCATCACGCTACAATCAATAGGAGCAGAGTAGTGAAGAGAAATGTTGGGAAAACGGGAGAAGTTACTCCATTTTTTAAGCTTCCGTCGCGTGTGCAGCCTTAATGATTAAAGTTACATAGAAATCATGTATGACGGAAATATTCTACATAAAATTGTCTAAAAAATATCCCGCAACAGCATATGTCTATCTTTTATGGTTGACTCACAATAACACGTGTAACTCCCGATAGCTTAGCAGTTCGGAGCATTCTGATCAACTTATACATGAAATAAGCCATCGCGCCGTCGCACGTGAATACTGAATCATGCTATAAGGATTATTTTTGTGTAATGGTTGCCGCGTTCGACACGGGTCGCGGCAGCGGTAGGGTATCAAAGGTCCGAGAGCGAGCTGTCTAAATCTGTTTTCTGCGTCGGTCCCCCCCTGGGGGACGATCGCTTCCGATGAAGCCTTAGAGGCCTTCCCGGCCAGAGGCAGCCCCTACGGGTGTTTTTTAGTCAGTACGAGTCTGACAGAACCTTGCAGCCGGCTGTAGGGTATCCTTGAGGATTTCTCATCTGCTCCCCCGCCTGGGAGACCGAAACCGTGCTTATCAGCGCGACTTTTAGTCTTTAAATAGTTTATTTGAATTTCTTTTGTTGTTATTTTGTAAAACAGGTATTAGTTGTTTTGGTAGTGTTTAAATATTCGTTCAAATTAAAAATTATTAAGCGTAGGTACTTTTATTAATTAAAGTAGTTATAAGTATTTATTTTTAAGTGAAGGAGGTATAGGTAGATAGTATTGCACACGCGTTTCAGCTTTATTTTCATTTCTTTTTTGTTGG